ACCTGATGCCTCTTGGGGTATTCGGCAGGACGCGCAAGGGGGGGGCACAACGCGTGTAACCACCTGCGGGCGTTGCGAGGGAGGAGGGTCCGCACGCAACCGCGCTCGCGCTCGAGCGTTGCGCGGTTGCGTTGCGCCCCCCCCCCCCCCCGCGCGGTTCCTCCCGGGGTACTAGCAACACGTCATCATCAACAACAAGAACAACAGCAACGACAACGACAACGACAACCACAACGACAACCACAACCACAAGAACAACAAGAACAACAAGAACAACAACAACAACAACAACAACAACAACAACAACAACAACAACAACAACAACAACAAAGCTGCAGCAGCAGCAACACCAACCACAACAGCAGCAACAACAACAACAACGACGACGACGACGAAAATATCAGCAGCAGCATCATCATCATATTCATCATCATGAGCAGTATCATCATCAGCAGTAGCATCATCAACATCATCATCATCATCATCATCATCATCATCATCATCATCATCATCATCATCTACATCATCATCCGCAGTATAATCATCAGCATCATCATCATCAGCACTATCATCATCATCATCATCATCATCATCATCATCATCATCATCATCATCATCATCATCATCATCATCATCATCATCATCATTTTACCTCGCGTCCCCGCCTTCCCTCCATCCTCCCCTTCCGAGTTCCCGTCCCTCTTCCCCCTCCTTCCGGCCCCCGCCCAATCAGAGTCGCCTCTTTCCCCAAGGGCTCCCAACTTCGCGCTTCCCGCAGCGCAAAGCGCGAAGTGCGAATAACTTCGCGCTCTCCCGCCGCCTCGAGGGTGAGGAGGAATCGGAGCCGAACCGCGAAGCGCGAAGCGCGAATAACTTCGCGCCCTCGAGGGCGCCCTTGTTTCCCCCTGCTGCGCACGAAGGGTGCGGCTGGAGTCCACACCCTGGCGTGTGGGCGTGCGGCCATACGGCCTCGCGTGGCCCTCGCCCTGCAGAGGCGCATCGGTGGCTCGTGGCCCGTGGGCACCCCGTTGGCACCCCGAGCCGAGGCTCGGACTCGAGAGCGGAGCCGGTGCGCCGCGGCCCCCTCGCCCGTCTCGCGAGAGCAGAGGGCGCGCGGCCCGCAGCCTCGCGGACCCGCGGAGCCCGTGGCTGGTGGACCCGTTCGCCAGGGCTCCCAACTTCGCGCTTCGCGCTCCGCGAAGCGCGAAGCGCGAATCACTTCGCGCCCTCGCGCCGCCCGCCCAAAGGGAGAAAAGGAGAACGAGGAGGAGGGGGAGAAGGAACGAGGACCGCGAAGCGCGAAGCGCGAATAACTTCGCGCCCTCGTGGGAGCCCTTGATTAGAGGCCTCCTAGATGGAGTCGGAGTAGATGGGATCGGAGGGTCGCGCCGCATCGCCGATACATCGGCAATGCATCGGCGATGAATCGGCGATGCATCGGCGATGCACCAGCGATGCATCGGCAACGTCGGCGTGAAGCAAATCGGGCTCCACATCGAGCCGCATCGCCGATGCATCGGCGATGCGGCGCGATGCTCCGACCCCATCTACTCGGACCCCGTCTAGGAGGCCTAGACCCGTGGACCTCTGTGGCCGTCTCGCGAGGGCCAGCTCGGCTTGGGTCGGGCATGCACTCCTACAGGCGGAGCTGGGAAGAGGCATGAAAAGTATTCCAAACATATTCGACAATAGTCGAAACATGATCGAAAAATCTATCCCCAGGCAATGTTTTACATTATTCTTGGATACTCTTCCTGTAGAGGGACATGCCCGACTAAAGCCAGGCTCACGAGCCGAGCCCTCTGGCTGGTGGCCGCGTGGACCCCCGCGGCCCTCGCCTGCCTGGGCGGGGCGTCGAGGAGCGAGGTGGTGGACCGTGGCGCGTCGGCCGCGTGCGGCCCCCGCATGAGGGGCGAGGCTCGAGAGGCGAGTCTGCGCCTCGCGGCCCACAGGCCCCCATCCTAGAAGGCAGACCAAACCACGCTCATCGTAAGCATCGGCTCGAGAAGCGAGTCTGCGCCTCGCGGCACGCAGGCCCCCATCGCGTGGCCCTGCCAGAAGGCAGACCAAACCACGCTCATCATAAGCATCTCTACAAGCGAAAAACCCTGCAGCCAATGCGCCGCAAGCATGCAGAGGACTCGAGCAGGGCAGGGCTGCGCCGCGAAACGCCCAGGACAAACGCCGGTGGTGGGGGTCGAGCATAGTTTTCCTCCCCCGACCCGTGGTCCTATGGCCCCTCGTGGGCCTCTCTCGTGCAGGGATGAGGCTCCAGAGGTTCGTGCGTTCGAGCGAGCGTGCTCATGGTGTCCCAGACGAGCCACCGCCCCGTGTCGGGGCGATGTAAGACTAGGGTACGGGGGACCCGGGTTGGCCTGACGGGGCTATCATTAGATAAGCGCGTTCCACTACTCGCAAAGTAACTACTCGCAAATGGCCCGGATTCGCCGCGGGGGAATTACTATACCTATACGACCGCCCTGCGGGCGATAAGGAGGTTGGGGGGGATTGAGATCAAATGCCCACCCTGACTGACCTCCAGCCTGTCACATTGATCTCGTCTCTCTCTTTCTCTGTGTCTCTCTCTCTGTCTCTCTCTCTCTGTCTCTCTCTGTCTCTCTCTCTCTCTCTCTCGCCCTCTCTCTCTCCCTCTCTATCAGAATCTCCCTCCACCACACTGATGATCGCGATGACGATGAGATCCCACTATCTACCTATCCGTCGACCGACAAAAATGAATTGATGGATTGGGCTGGGTTGATTGAATTGGATGGGACAAGATGGATTGGATAAGAAAAGATGGGTTGGATTGGGAGAGATGGATTGGACAAGAAAAGATGGATTGGATTGGCCCGCCGCAGACGCAGACACAAATGAATTGATGGATTGGGTTGGATGGATTAGATTGGGTGGGAAAAGATAAAATGGGACAAGATGGGTTGGACAAGACAAGATGGATTGGATTGGAAAAGATGGATTGGAAAAGATAAGCTGGATTGGATTAGAAAGCCCGCCGCAGGCGCCGACAAAAATGAATTGATGGATTGGGCCGGGTGGATTGGATTGGATGGGACAAGATGGATTGGATAAGATAAGATGGGTTGGATTGGGACAGATGGATTGGATAAGATAAGATGGATTGGATTGGCCCGCCGCAGGCGCAGAAACAAATGAATTGATGGATTGGGTTGGGTGGATTGGATTGGGCGGGAAAAGATAAGATGGGACAAGATGGGTAGGATGATATAAGATGGATTAGATTGGACAAGATGGATTGGAAAAGAGAAGCTGGATTGGATAAAAAAGCCCGCCGAAGGCGCCGAGAAAAATGAATTTTGAAATTAGCGACATGCGTTAGCGCCGGGACGCCTGGGAGACACCCGGGACACCGCCCGGCCCAACTGGGACACCTCCCACCCACCGGCGGACGGGAAACGGACTTTCGCTCCTACTGACACCCGGGACACCCGGGACACCGCCCGGCCCAACTGCGACACCTCCCAGCCACTGGCGGACGGGAACGGACTTTCGCTCCTACTTCGGCCTAGCTACAGGAGGATCACGCGCAACTTCGCCTCGCCCGCACGCACGACACGAACACGAAACCGAAACCGATTTCCCGGTGGGGGGTCTCCGTTTCACTGCGATCTCACCCCCCAACCTCCGCCATAACGTCGAGGCAACGAACTATTGTTCAGGCGTTTGCGAGTATGCACTTTGCGAGTAATGGAACGCGGTCGGTGAATCACAAAAATGACGAGACCCAATCAGAAATTTGACGCGAGCTCCCGCCGCAAAACACCCCACGAAAACCGGACAGTCGAAATCCAGGACGCGCTCGTCAAAGAGCGTCGGCAGACCCGGGTCCCAGTTTGCTCGAGTCCTACGTTTTCCCGACCGCAGCACGCACGCTGCTTACGGCACACGAGGAGGTGGACGTGCAGCTTGGCGGCGCGCACAAGGGGGTAGAGGGAGGGGGGAAAGCTTCTGAGAAGGCGGCTGCCTCTCAGAAGGCGCTGGCCGCCCCTCTGAAAAGCCAGGGGCGCACCGCTGCTTAGGAGCACCCCAGCAGCTCCTTAGAAGCACGGAAGCGCTTCTTAGAGGCAAAGCAGTTTCTTAGAAGCAAGCCACCTGCGTCTGAGAAGCACGCCAGGAACAGCTTCCAAGAAACAACAGCAAGCGTCTTAGAAGGGCCGCCCGCGCCTTCTAAGAAGGGAGGGTGCTTCTAAGAAGCCTTCCCCCCTCCCCCATACCCCCCTCCGCGCGTGGCTGAGCAGCGGCTCCCGAGGTGGTTATGTGGCTCGTGCCCCTGTGGCTTCTGGCCCCTCGTGTGCGGCATGGAGCTCGCATGATCGACTCGGCTGCCCGTGGCCCGTGCTCCAGGAGTCGATTCGCGTGCTCGTGGTCTAGCAGCCCCTCGCTGCCCCGGTGGCCCCGACCCTGTCCCAGTCTCCCTCTCCCCCCCCTCGCACTCCTCCTCCTCCTCCTCCTCCCTCCCTCCTCCATCCTCCTCCTCCACCACGCCAAGAAAGGATGACTCGGACTCTCCCTAGTCGTGAGCGTGGAACTGTACCTTCGGTCCAGGACCGCGCAGACCGTTTTCCCGAAATCGCCAAGACGTCTTGACATGATGTTTATGATGGTGTCTATCACCACTTATGCTGCCTCGTAAAACACTTTGCCGTCTTCATCCATAGTCTCAAAAAACTCTCTACGTGTGGACGATCACACTCGACATGTCTCTCCAGCACTGTACTCAGCCATTACTTTTCTAAGAATGAACACTGCATCACGCGCTCAACTGTAGGCCGGTCTCGTGCAATTTGGAACTCCTCTTGTGACTCGTCTAGAAGGCTGCGCGTCACTGGACATGTCACATAAATATCCCTGCGTGCTCGCACCAACTGGTTATGTGCTCCTTCACTCACCTACCGTCACCAACAACTCTGGCAAACGAGAAGGAGATCAACACGACAGGAAGAGATGGCCCGCAAGCAGACCTCACGGTGTGCCTCCTCGTCAGCGACGCGCAGCCGTTGCAAGTCACTCAGCTGGCCGCTGGATGCCTGCTCTGGCAGGGAGCTCCGCCATGCGCGCTGCTGCCACGAGGAGGAAGGAGGGAGCTGAACTGGCAGGGGGGAGGGACGAAGCACGCGTGGCGAGGGAAAGGAAGGAGAGGGGGACTGGCAAGGATCGCGAGGCGCCCTGCCGCCCAGAGGAAGGAGCGGGGGCGCTGGGAGGCACCGAAGAAGTCCTGGAGACCCATCAGCGCCCCTGCGAACACCCTGGAGCTTATGGGTAACCCCTGCAGGCTCCGGGGAGGCTCCTTTGGGGCGTCCTAGGAGGGACCCCTGGGAGGCACCCGAAACGGCAGGAAGAAGTTGCAAGCCGCTGGGACCCCTGCAGGCCACCCAGGAGCCGTGCTGCGCCGCTCGAACCGCTCTGGCACCGTGCGGGCTCCGGTGCGGGGCCTCACAGACGAGTGGGGCGGGCCCAGGACGGGGCCCCGCAGGCCCCCTGGGGGCGGGCCGCGTCCCCGACGGAAGGGGGCGGCGGGTGCTGTCACGCCGCGGGGGGCCGTCAGGGCAGGACGGGCGACGACGACGACGACGACGACGACGACGACGACGACGACGACGAGGACGACGACGACGACGACGACGACGACGACGACGACGACGACGACGACGCGCAGCCGACAGGCTGGCTGCGCCAGCAGCCCGAGGCAGCGCGGGGCCTGGCAGTCCGCCTCCGCGGCGCGGAGCCGGCCCTCCGCCAGCGCCCACTCGGAGCCCTCGGCCCGCGCCACGCTCAGGAGGCGCGCCTCTCGGCGGCGGGGGGCGAGGCAGAGGCAGAGGAGCCCGGCGAGGGGCGGCGAGGGGAGGGCAGGGAGGGCGAGGGCGCGGAGGAGGAAGGGGCGGGGGCGGCAGGGAGGGGCGAGGCGGAGGGAGGGAGGGAAGAGGAGGAGGAGGAGGAGGAGGAGGAGGAGGAGGAGCAGGCCCGGGAGGTCAGCAGCATCGGCGGCACGAGCGGGAGCGGCGGCGGGTAGCAGCAGTAGCAGCACCACACGTGGCCGATGCCTTCTGCCCAGGTGGAAATGGCGTCCCCTGCTTTCGTGCTCTTCCTCCACCGTGCATCCCCGCTTCCGAAGGTCACTGGAACCCACGTTCCGTGGTCGTCCTGATCGGGCCTATTCCCGAAAACTCCATTCGACGCCCGTTTGTCCCCAGGTCGGCGCAGAAAGGGCAGCTCGTACAGCTGTTTCCGCGACAGTTTGCATGTATGGCACAGACGGGGGCAGCTGGCCGATTTGTTTGCCGCTTCCTCCGGAAGGACAGTACAGACGTCAGGACGTAGCACAGAAGATTTCATCTGAGCCCCATTACACCACATGGGCCCAAGGGGATTGTACATTGCACGGGCTGGTCACTGTCAGTACGTGCGATACTCTCGCCTATAGGCGAAGCGTTTGTCCTGCATCAGGGTCCGCATCGGGCAGGCTCATTGACAAACGCACACACACGCGCACGCACGCACGCACGCACGCACGCACGCACGCACACGCACGCACACACACACACACACACACACACTCACACACACACACACACACACACACACACACACACAAAAAAAAAAAGAAACAAAAAAAAAAAAAAAAAAAACACTCGCGCGTGTTTCACCATGTAGAAACCGCTGCTGCACTCAACACGTCCTTCTGCGAATGGAAAATCAGAAACCGACATCGTCAGCCTCACACCACGGCATGCTTCAGACGACACCGACCTGCTGACAACGGCGAGAACAAACACAAAAGCGACGCGAACGTCAACGGAGACGCAGCCAACGGAACATAATAACGATGAGGAATTGCGCACACGACAGCGATTTTACTGACGATACAGTGCTTTGCACATGAGCATGCACAAGATGCCAGCTTACCAGCTTAGCACTCGCCTCTTATATACCAGTGAGATATCACTCGCGAAGGAGAGCGACTCTTGCAATGCTTGCATCGCAGTGGTGAAAGCATCGCGGATCAGAAACAAGCAATGGCACAGGAATCGACGGTGAAGGGAAACAGGAATCGACAGGAATCGACAGGAAACAAGCGGGGAAAGGGAAGAAAGAGTGGGCAACACAATCCAAAAATATCTGCACCCCTGCGACGATATGCCAGGATGCCGATGAATTCCCTAGCTCGCCACTGCAAAAAAAAGCAGTCCGCGTGCGGCACGGAATGACTGTTTTTTGGTGGCGGACCGCACGAGGTTGGCACGGGCTGCCGTCTTCTGCCGCCCGCGCTTACGCTCCGTCTTGACGACTGCTGGACAACAAGATGTGTCGCCCCAGCGAGCTGCACGTCCCACTGGCATCGCGACTAGACACGCGTGTGGAATGGCAGAAGATATATTGAAACGAATACCAGGCACGGCGGCACAACGCATGCCGAGAAAGAGGAAGCACCTCATCTAAAAGAAGAGTAGCACCAAAAGTAATAGGCCAGAAGAGCGGAAGCGGCCCAAAATGCTGAAGACTTGTCTGCAAACTGGCGTGTGGGAAAGCATGAAGACGGACTGAGAATATGAGGTGTAAGAGAAGACACTCATACATACACATTGGCTCGCAAAGCTTATCGAAATTGGAAAGCGAGGTGGCAATTCGACGGGGGGGGAGGGGGGGCTTGGGATAGGCTGGGGGGGCGGGCGAGGGAGGGGAATTGTGCCTCGAGGAGTTCCTTTCCGAAGCAGCCCAAAAAAATGCTTTTTCTCGTGAAAACCAAATCCACGATATTGGATATCTCACACAAACTTGAGAAAACAAAACAAAAAAAAAAAAAAAAAAAAAAAAAAAAAAAAAAAAAAAAAAAAAAAAAAATGGCCCGATTGCTTTTTTGACAAAGACCCCTGACGGAAGAGGAAACCCTCCGCCCGACCTGTTTCTGCACCAAACTGCGCTCGTAAAAAAAACATATGACGGACTGGTGCTGCACCAAAAAAAATGGACACGATGGCCGTGTTTGACAATTCCCCAGCAGAAGGCCAAACCCGTGCGCACGCATGTTTGTTTCAACAGAGACCGCGATGCGAATCCCACCAGCCCTTTGGGCGTGAGTGGTTTAGAGAGCTCTCTCTGTCCTCAAGCCCCCAACCCCCCTTCTTCCCCTTCGGGGAGGGGTTTACCCCTCCCCCTACCCCCTCCCCCTGGGCCTGGAGAGGTCGTCCCGCGGGTGGTCAGAGGGGTCTTTTTCGACCCCTGGGAGGGCCAAAAAACGACAGCCTTCACGAGGATTCTGGCCCCGTCGGGGGGACCACGAAAAAATGCTCTCCTCTTCTCTGAAGCCAAAATCATTGATTTTACCACGGTGTTGGCCCCATTTTGGCCGTCTGAGGGGCCAGCGCTGCTGCTCCTTGTTCTCCAAAATATTGATTTTACTAAGGTTTTGGGCTCATTTTGTCCTTCTGAGGGGGTAGCGCTCATTCGCGCTTCTCAGGAGGTCGCAAGAAGCCCCAAGATGGCCCCAAGAGGCCCCCAGGAGGCTCCCAAGAGGCCTCCAAGAAGCCCCCAAGAGGCTCCCAAGAGGCCCCAAGAGGCCCCCAAGAGGCCCCCAAGAGGCCCCCCAAGGGCCCCACGAGGCCCCCAAGAGGCCCCCAAGAGGCCCCCAAGAGGCCCCCAAGAGGCCCCCACGAGGCTCCAAGAGGCCCCCAAGAGGCCCCACGAGGAGCCCGAACGACTCACACCAGGACGAGGGGCCCGAACGACTCACACCACGAAGAGCCCGAACGACTCACACCACAAGGAGGGGCCCGAACGACTCACACCAGGACGAGGCGCCCGAACGACTCACACCACGAGGAGCCCGAACGACTCACACCACGACGCGGGCCCCGAACGACTCACACCACGAGGAGCCCGAACGAGTCACACCAGGAGGAGGGGCCCGAACGACTCACACCAGGATGAGGGGCCCGAACAACTCACACCACGAGAAGCCCGAACGACTCACACCAGGACGAAGAGCCCGAACGACTCACACCACGAAGAGCCCGAACGACTCACACCAGGAAGAAGGGCCCGAACGACTCACACCAGGACGAGAAACCCCAAACGACTCAAATCACGAGGAGCGCTTTCTCTCCCTCCTCCTCCGCCTCGTCCTTCTCCCGCTCCCCCCACAAGGAGGATTCGGAAAGAGGCGGGAGAAAGGAGGGACAGGGGAGATATACGGAGCCCAGCGGACACACGCCTGAAAAACACAACTGTCGACATGCTTCGCGAGAGCTGCTGCTGTGAGATGGGCTGGTGGGGATACGCGAAGCGTAAAGAATTCAGCATAGTGAAGGGGCGAATGGTCTTGAGTCTTGCATCATCCGTGGGTGCGCATCTGAAATCGGATTCGTCGGTGAATTGCTTTGTTGTCGCCCACACCTGCGGCCCACCGCAACCCGCACAACCACGACGCACCCCACGATCCACACGCGCGACCCGCCCGCAACCCACCCGCGGCCCACCCCGCGCCCGCCCCCGCACTCTGATCCGCAGCTTCGGAACTCTATCTCGTTTCTTACCCAATAAACTCGGGGCACGATCTTCGGACATCGGCCAAAGTTGGATCGGGTTTTCGCTCACGTACACGCCGGTCGGAGGAAGTGCGTGAAAACATGAAGTGGGAAGGCGCTGGAGGTAGATCGGGCTTCGGCCCGTCCCTGAAGAGGAGAGAAGAAAAAACAATCGATCCTTGAAGTAGGAAGGCGCCTAAAGTAGATTGGGATCTGGGAGTCCAAGAATACCTACCTCAACGACCTGTGCGTATGTTTGTTTCGTCGGGGGGTGTAGATTGAAGAAAAAGCATAGGGAAGTACGCGTTCTACTGAACAGACCCTCTGGCCACATGGGTTTTCTCCGAAATGGCCCGACAAGAGAGCTGACAGAAGCCCTGAAAACAAACAAAAAAAAAAAAAAAAAAAAAAAAACGCCGCGAAGCGGCCTCATAGCGACCCCTGAAAGGCCCCACAAGTTCCCAAGCAGAGCATCAAGACCGCCACCCCAAAAAACAAAAAACAGTCCTGGCGAAAGACCCAAACATATGCAGTTGTGGGAAAAGCAAATGATGGTATCGTCTTCGGCGGAGCTCCTTATAGGGCCCGAAACGTGTGAGGGGTGTGCCAACATGGGCGCGGTGGTGTCCTGCGAGCGCAGCCACTGGGGCTTTCGGTGGAGCTCCCCGTGGGGCCACGAAACTTGTGAGGGGTGTGCCAAAATGGGCGCGGTCGTGCCATGCGAGCGCAGCCACTGGGGCCTTCGGTGGACCTCCCTATAAGGCCACGAAACGTGTGAAGGGTGTGCCGAAATGGGTGCGGTGATGTCATGCGGGCGCAGCTACTGGGGCTTTCGGTGGAGCTCCATATGGGGCCACGAAACGTGTGAGGAGTGCACCCAAATGGGTGCGGTGGTGTCATGCGCGCGCAGCCACTGGGGCCTTCGGTGGAACTCCCTATAAGGCCACGAAACGTGTGATGGGTGTGCCAAAATGGGCGCGGACGTGCCATGCGAGCGCAGCCACTGGGGCCTTCGGTGGAGCTTCCTATGGGGCCACGAAACGTGTGAGGGGTGTGCCGAAATTGGTGCGGTGATGTCATGCGAGCGCAGCCACTGAGGCCTTGGATGGAGCTCCCTATGAAACCACGAAACGTGCGGTGGCCTCATGCGAGCGCAGCCACTGGGGCCTTCCGTGAAGCTTCCTTTGGGGCCACGAAACGTGTGAGGGGTGTGCCGAAATGGGTGCGGTGATGTCATGCGAGCGCAGCCACTGAGGCCTTCGATGGAGCTCCCTGTGGGGCCACGAAACGTGCGGTGGTGTCATGCGAGCGCAGCCACTGGGGCCTTCGGTGAAGCTTCCTGTGGGGCCACGAAACGTGTAAGGGGTTGCCAAAATGGGTGCGTTGATGTCATGCGAGCGCAGCCTCTGAGGCCTTCGGTGGAGCTCCCTGTCGGGCCCCGAAACGTTTGAGGGGTGTGCCGAAGAAATGAGTGCGGTGGTGTCATGCAAGCGCAGCCACTGGGGCCTTCAGTGGAGTTCCCTATAAGGCCACGAGGCGTGTGATGGGTGTGCCGAGATGGGTGCGATGGTGTCGTGCGAGCGCAGCCACTGGGGCCTTCGGTCGAGCTTCCTCTGTGGCCACGAAACGTGTGAGGGGTGTGCCGAAATGGGTGCGGTGGTGTCATGCGAGCGCAGTCACTGGGGCCTTCGGTGGAGCTCCCTATCGGGCCACGAAACGTGTGAGGGGTGTGCCAAAGCGAAGAGGGTGACGGGAGGAGGGAGGAAGGGGGGGAGGATGAGAGAGGAGGAGAGGAGGAACGCGGGGACCGTCTCATCAAAACGAGGACCCAACACCACAGGATGGTGAGGCAAAACAGGAGGTAGCGGTGGCACACAACGACCCCAAGAGAGCTCCAGAAGATTTCCAATAGCAGCCCAGACTAGTATCGAGAGGGGCCCAAGGGCACCCGAAGAAGGGCCCCAAAGGGGCGTAAGAACGGCCACAAGAAGGCCCCAAGGAATCCCCAAGGGAGGGTACGGCAGTGCCCCACAAATGGACCCAAAGGGGGCCTCAAGAGGGCCCGGAACGAACGAACCACCACATCGGACAGCTGTCCTGGCCTGCTAAGACCAGGTGGGTGAGGCCATGGCCTCCTGTAGACATGCACACATGCACAGGAAGGGCGAGACATACAAAAAAACTGATTCTGCACAACACACCAAAAGCGACGAGAGGGCCCGATAGGGGGGCAAAAAAAACGGCCCCGAGGGACCCCAAGAAGAGCGCCAGCGAGGGCCAAAAGTGGAACCCCCCAAGGATGCCCCCAGAGGTGGCACACGAAGGCCCCCAAGAGGGCCCGAAGGGGCCTCCAGAGCGGCCCCAGGCGGACCCTCCGAGGGCCTCTACAGAAGTGGGCGGGGCGGCGGACGGCGGGCGGCGGCGGGAGGCGGGCGGACCCGAGATTCTGAACACAACTCCGAATGGTGCCGTCTAGCAGCGGGAACTGACAAGGCCGAGCGAGAGCACGATTCTGGGGCTAATCGCAAGGAAGTCTCAGGCGGAATCGCAGTGTCTACTGACTTTGCACAGAAGTATCAGGCGGGAGCCGTCGCCGATGCAGTCTGGCACCCAACAACCAAGTTTGAGGCTCAAGACTTCCCCTGACAAAAACAAGGTGAGAGCCCTGGGGGGTACTTCAATGGACAAACGAGCATGGGCACCAGGCAATGAGGAATCAACAAGAAGAAAGCTTCAGAATGAGAGATCGGCAAACTACTTACGATCACACATAACGATGAACCGACTTACGATCACAAAAACACACATTCCTGCCAGTACAAGAAAACCCTCCGCCCGAGGGGTCTTTGCACAGTCAAACCACATGGCCCCTTTCAACAGCAACTCTGACCGAGGGGCTTTCCCCAAAAAACATTGGGCGTTTCGGTTTCACCTGCAAGACGAAACATCGGATCGGAGCGCTCCTGCTTGAGAGGAAAAACTGCAGGAGTGTTCTGCACAAAAACCTGTGTCCGAGGGGGCTTTCAAGTTTCCTTCCCCCCGCACCCCTTCTCCGAAATTGCGCTTTCAAGGGACCAGTCTAAACAGTCTGACAAACCTGAACTCGCAATTTGATCATAACTCGTTGGAGCTGCGTCGCTTGCATTGAAACTCATGCACCCCTTATGATGATATGTATACGGTCTTCCTCGTTCTGCGTGAGAAAGTTTGGTTCTTCCGCCTCCCTCCTCTCCCTGGTATCCCTAATCTCCTTCTACTGCGAAAAAGACACACTGCGACTTTGTGCTCTCTTCGCACAGGCCGTCAGGATTGTGGCCAACGCGCGAGGTACAGCTTAGAACCTGCTCCACTAACAAAGCCTTGCCTACAGACTAAGTCAAACAGGGTCAGACGGGCACATCCCCTGCAAATGGAGGACTGGGTGCAGCTGACGACACTTGCAGAGACCCTCGGATCCGAACAAAATCATGCAAACGATTCGCATTCATTATGACCCCAGGGACACGCCTCACACAGATGAGTCGTGCAACACAAGATCTTTCACTTACAAACTCACTGCCGTGTGCGCAGGAGAAAAAAGCTATCCTCGATATGGCCGAGGTTGCTGTCATTGCATCCTAAGCTACAGAGAGCCTGTATCAGGCTCTCCTTCTCAATTCTTAATGGACACTGAAGCCACCCATCAAAGCACTGCCCGCGTCAACGTCTGGAACGCCAAAATCCAGCCGTCGACCGCACTTGCAACAGCTGCTGTGAGCCGGCGGGGGAACTGGGACATCTGCCGCGCGTGATAAAAAATGCTCGCCCCTCCCCTCCCTTCTCCTGCTTCTCCTCCCCCTGTACCTTCCTCCCTTCTCCTCCTCTTGCGCAAGCCTCCTCTCCCAGCCCACGCTCGCGGGGGGGCGGCAGAGGAGGGAGACGGAGGAGCGGGAGGGACACCCATGCACCGTGCAGATCGCCGTGCGCTTCAGCCCAAGAACCAGCAGGCCCGGGGCCTATGACTCACGGCGTTGTCTCGCAAGATCACCTGGCTCGTCTCAGGGGCGACTTGCTTGCAGCTCCTGTACGACAACCTGGGCACCAGGCGGCGAATGGATCCGGGCAGCATGACGGGGCGCCTTCGTGGAGAGACGGCGGCGCTTGCTCGACCAAGCGGCTTCACAGGAGCCTCCCTTGCTGTGCTCCGAAGGATAATATCCTGAACGTGGCGTTTTCCGACACAACTCAGGATCTTCCACGCCTCGAGTGACCACTCCTCTTCTGACATGACACCGTTAAGGCAGCACCATGCCAACTCACACTGCTCTGGGATCGCCACCATGCGGGCGTCGATGGATCTCATCAGGAACACCGAGCCAGACAAGGGGTCGACACCCACTGCGCACTCAGACAGATTCCTCACATCTCCCACGCTCAAATGGTGCCTGGATAAGCAGTACTCGTTGTACAACCTTCGAAAGAAAGCCTGAACATCCAAGAACTTGCTAACCCCTTGGAGAATCCAGTAGAGACCGAACCAAATCCAGGTGGTCATTCGCCGTCATTACATGTTGGGGAAACGATGTTCTAACAGGGCCCCAAGGGAGCTCCGAGGATACTCCCTGAGAGCCTCAGGAGGCATCTGGCGTAGCCCGAGATGCCCACGAGAGGCCTCCAAAGCAGCCTCAGTTTGCTGAATTAATTGTCTCCGAGATGACCCCGGATGGCCTCCACTACTGCCGATCTTGGTCGGGCATGCCTCCAAGATGGCCAAGTCAGGCATGCTTCCCAGATAGGTCCCGAGAGGCAAAGATCATTGAGAACATGTATTCTGGACTCTGACGTCAGATGATCTCTTGGGCCCACAATAGGCCCCAAGAGAGTCCTATATCGAGCGTAAATGCTAACAAGTTGGCTTGGACACCGCTCCAGATCTGTTTGCGAAAGCGTCAACAGCGTATCAAGACGCAAGCCATTATTGATTTCCTCTTCCTCCTCCTCATCCTGCCCCTGATCCGCCTTCACCTCCTCAAGATTTGTCAAGTCCCTGGGTGTTCAGGCTTTCGGAACCTTCTGAACTCCAACCGCATCTCCTGCAGAAGTCCGCAAAAGCGAGCACGCGCGCACCGCGTGCACTCACTACTCCTCTGCGCCCTTGTCCCACCTGCCCAAGTGGAAAGGAGGGCAGGATCAGTAGGCATCAAATCGGGAAATCGGATGGGATCGGAATGTGCGTCGGATCGAGCTGCATCGGCACAGAGTCGGAATCAAATCGAGTCAGCCGAGCCAGGATGCACAACAGCGCCATGCAAGCATCGGGCCGCATCGGATCGCCGAAATACCGGCATCGAGTCGGATCGGACCGACCGGAATCGATATCGAATCGGATCGATCGGGTCGAATAGGACCCCGGAGGGGAAGACGAACGGAAAGGGAGTGGGAGCGGGAAGACCACCACCACCACCGCTACCACCCACCACTGGGTCGGGAGCCCCCGCCCTCTTCCCGCCCCACCCGTCCTCCCGCGCCCTCCCCTGCCCTCCCCTGCCCTCCTCCTCCTCCTCCTCCTCCTCCTCCTCCTCCTCCTCCTCCTCCTCCTCCTCCTCCCCCTGCCCTCCCTGGCCCTCGCCTGCCCCCTCCCCTGCCGCCCACCCCACCCCCCACCCCCGCTGTCCCCTGCTCTCCCCTGCCAGCCCATGCACTCCACAAGACGCCAGCCGATCCCCTCTCCACCAAGAGCCCCGAGCTCGAGGGCAGGCCACGCCGCCATGAGTGCATGCGGCATTCGCGAGCGTCTGAGGAGGAGGAGGAGGAGGAGGAGGAGGAGGAGGAGGAGGACGAGGGGGAGGGGGAGGGGAGGGGGAGGGGGACGAGGAGGAGGAGGAGGACCAGTGTAAACCCCAGAGCCATCAACGATGTTGGAATACACCCTCCCTGACAGCTCCCCCTGCATAGGCCCCTTTCCACGCCACGGATCAACCTGACTGTTGCGTCTTGACGATCCTGGATCGTGCCAGAACGCCATTCTTGGGATTTCAACACCGCGAACCATTGTAACTGTTGCACCCGCAAAATCCGGAATCTTTTCAAAACACCATTTCTCATACGTTGATCGTGGAAATCCGTGAAACTCTTGCAAATGTTATGAACGATTGCGCGCGGCGCTAAGGCGAGAGCCACATTTTGAAAACCACCCGCCCTCCATCTGTGAAACTGCTGCCAACTTGTAAGTTTCAGAATCATAAACGGTGAGGAAGTCTCAGGCGAAACGCCCGGCCCGCCCTAACAACTGGCCTCGGGGTGCGACAGGGATAAGTTGTGGAAGGAAGAGGAATGGAGAAGGAGGAGAAGGAGGAGAGGAGAAGGAGGAGGATGGTCCTGGATCCCAGCACGCAACCACACATGTCGCCCGGCAAGCAGACCGTCGTTAGAGGCGCTCAGCACCCCGCCAGTCTTCTCGCTGTTCTGTGCTGGTGGCCGTCCCAGAAGGGCTGGGACCAGCGGTGCAGCCCCGCCCCTCATCAGCTGGACCAGCTGGAGCAGCTGACGCCTGTATGCGAACAGAAGAGAACGAAGAATGACATAAACATAACAACTCGGAGGTCCGCGCGGATTTCTCGGATCGGCGCTGGCCCCCCCTCCCTGGCGCGCGGAGCGCGCCAGGGGCGGCGCCGGAGGCGCCGCCAGAGGGCCCCTGCGCGGATCCGAGAAATCCGCGTGGACCTCCGAGTTGTTATGTTTATGTGTTGTTCGTTCCCCGAGAACAACAGCCTGAAGACTCGACAGACGCAGCGAGAGGTGGAGGCGCGCTCCTCGGTTACGCGTCGCCGAAGAGAGAACGGAGCCTTGCAAATGAGAAGTGGCCCAGCAAAACTGGCCCGCCAAAATGGCTGCAGTATGCCGATGGTGACGACGATGGCGATCCGTACTTCGCATCCACGGAGAGGCCTGAGCTCCAAGAGAACTCCCAAGAGGACCCCAAGAGGCTGAAGTCGACAAAATCCCTAAGCAAGACGTACATGTTTAGCATATCCCCAATGTTCGTCTTGACAGCGTACAAGACGGCCTAAGGGGCCCCAAAGATCGTCCCAAGATAGCCCCGGAGGCCTCCTAAGATGGCTCCAAGACGGCCCAAGACGGCCTCAAGGCAGGGGCCCCCGAGACGGTCCAGGAGAGCCCCAAGAGAGCCCCAAGAAGGGCCCAAGAGGGGAACTGAAACTGACAATTTGAGCGTTTCGCCCCAAGAGCCCCCAAGATGCCCCCGAGAGCCGAACAGGAGGCCCCCGAGAGGCATCCCAAGAGACACTCATATGCACCCAAGAGTCTCCTGACCCACAGCACAGGCACAGTGGCGGGTTGGCCCAAAGCCAACTAAATGACTGCCACGATCCTCGCAAATTCTCGCTCCTTCTGGGGGTCGGCGGAATCTCGTAAGCCACTGGAACAAGGAAACGATGCAAAAGAGAGGGCAAGAGTGAAAGGCAATGGAGCAGACAAGGTAGTGGAAGTGACAAGGGAGTAAGGGGAAGGAGTGGAATGGAATGGAGCATGGTGGATGGGAAGGGGTGGAGCGGAGCAGGCGAACAAGCGCGCGGTTCCACCGAAGGCGCAGGCTTTATAGGCCTTTGCGGCGGGGCCAGAGCTCTCACTTACTGCTGTCCGTATCGTGGTGCTCCGCCGTATGTAGCCGAAGCGTGTTTTCTCGGCCCATGCCATGAATTCTGAACTATCACACAATGAATGACAGCCACCATTCGCAGCCACTGTCGCCAGGTAATCGTGTGCCGTGGTCAACCTTGTCTGTTCCCCCCATGAACTTCACAGCCTCGTGGTCCCAACACGTCCGCTATCCACCGTGCCTTCGTTGGGGCTCTAGTTCGTCGTGCGGTAGAGGGTCGAGACAAAGGCGCGGCGGGCGTGCCCGCCGGCCTGCAGGCAGATTCGCAACTCGGCTGGCCCATCGCTTTTTCTGCCCTGTCGTAGGGTGGCGCCCGATCATCCTGGGCGTGTTCGGCGCGGGCCATGAATGCGCGCGTAGCTCTTCGGAGCAGGGTGGAATTTGGAGAGGAGTGCTTTCGAGAGGAGTGGAGTGGGCTGGAGCGGAAAGGGGCAGAGAGAGTGGAGGCGAGAACAATGAGAGTGAAGAGCGGAGAATCGAACGAAGAGCGGAAACGAAGGTGAAGGGTGAAAAGCCGAGAGTGAAGAATGGAGGCTAGACAGAGGCGAGTGGACCGTGAGTGAAGAGCGGAGGAGGGAGTCTGGAGCGTGCAGTCAAGTGGAATGGAATGGAATGGAATGGAATGGAATGGAATGGAATGGAATGGAATGGAATGTTGCGGAATAGGATGCCGAGAGGGGTGAATGCAGTGAATGAGGGGGCTTGGAAGCAAAGGGGACGGAAAAAAGAGAAGGGTGACAGGATAGGTAACACTTCCGTCACCGTGCCCCCATGGCACGTGTTTGAATGTAGGGTAGGGTTGTCTGAATGCTGCTACGGGGCCGCCCCCCCCCTCTACTGCAGGAAGCCGCAGGCACCCCCCCTCGTTCCTGAGGTCACTTCCCTCGTGCCCGCTCGAAGATCATGCACTTCCGGCATGGTAGCGAAATGCTCAAAAACGCCCATTCCACGCGTGCCCCCTTGAGGACGGTGCACTTCTGGGACCGGCCAGGCCCCAGAATCAGGATCAGTGCGAGAGCAGTAAACTGAGCTTGGGTCAAAACTGCTTGAGCCAAAACGGCTACGGAACCCATTGGTGTCCCATTGGTGTCCCGTCGGTGTTCCATCGGCGGCGGGCGGGCGGTGGCTGGGGGGGTCCCCCCTTTGTATCGTTGGTGAAGTCGATAGTGAGATCGACAATGAAATCGTTGGAATGGGATGGGTAGTGAAACCAAAAGTGAGATCGACAGTGAGGTTTCTTGTGACATTGGTTTTGAAACCGATAATGGGGTAGATAGCGATATCGATAGAGGAATCGATAGAGAAATCGATGGTGAGGTCGATAGTGAGATCGAAAGCGAGATCGATAGTGACAACGATAGTGGCATTACATCGCAGCGCAACACCGACGTCACGCGTCTTCGCTAACTCGAGGGCGCGTGCGTCACCAGCATCGTCATCATCACACCCATCGCAGTTGGCAGCAGTTGGTTCTTTCCCCCATCCCTCACCCTCCTTATCAACCGAAGGGTGGTCGTATTGGTATAAACAATCCCTGTCGGTGTCGTTCGTGTGGGCAGGCTTCGCCCGATAATCCCTCTCACGTTTAGATCCCAAAGCTTGAAATTTGCAGCACTTCCACAAATTGAGCACAGTCCATTTACAAAATAAACCCCTTGCGTTCGCACCACGCACATTCGTCCAACAAATACAACAGTCGACGGATGGATGGCGGTTCTCCTTCAAAACGGGGCTCCCTCCTGCGGCGTCCTCCAATCTGATGACCAGGAATTCAGATTTGTGGCACAGCTGCAAGGATAGAGGTAGGTTCACTGTCTATGGGGTTCTGGCTTGAGACGTTATGTGATTCGATGACAAGAACGTTGAAAGTATGCAGCCCTCCAACGGATGGAGGGCATCCCTTCTTTCCAGAACAGAGCTATCGCTGGATACCTTTTTGAACTGTAGGATCCTACCCCTTTGCACGTCTTATAGCGCCTGAAGGGCAGGCCCCCCGAGCGGTTATCTGGGAGGGGGGGAGCTTCCTGCAGTGGCCGAGCATACTTGTGGGGACTTATGGGGGGATTGAGTTGGTCCTCCTGCTCCTCCTCCTCCTCCTCCTCCTCCTCCTCCTCCTCCTCCCCCTCCTCCCCCTCCTCCTCCTCCTCCTCCTCCACCTCCTCCTCATCCTCTTCAACTACCCCCTCCTCCTTCCAAGATTGACCGCCCTTATCATCCCCCCTCCTCCTCACCCCTTTTTCCTCTCCTCCTCCTCCTCCACCATCTCCTCCGCTTCTGACATCCTGCCCCCTCTGCACCCTGCCTGCTCCACGGCCAACGTCTTGAGCTCGGTCTCCTGGTGCTGGCATCTCTCCTCGATCTCCTCGCGCGCCATCTGTCCGTGATGGAACTCCTCGGGCAGGAAGCAATGCATCTTCTCTCCGCGCTCCTCCCCACTCTTCCTCCTTCTATTCCTCGTCATCGGCATCAGAATCGTCATCATCATCATCATCATCATCATCATCATCATCATCAGCAGCAGCAGCAGCATCGTCGTCGTCGTGATCATCATCATCATCATCATCATCAGCATCATCATCACCATCACCATCACCATCGTCATCCTCATCATCATCATGATAAGCATCAACATCATAATCATCATCATCATCATCATCATCATCATCATCATCAACATCATCAGCATCAGCATTATAAGCATCAGCACCATCATCAACACCATCAACATCATCATCATCACAATCAGCATCAGCATCATCGACAACAACATGATCATAATGAGAATGGTCATCATCATCATCATCAGCAGCAGCATCAGCAGCAGCATCGTCTTCATCAAAATCACAATCATCGTCGTCATCATCATTAGCATCATCATCATCATCATCATCATCATCATCATCATCATCATCATCATCATCATCGTCGTCGTCATCATCAGCATCATCATCGACATCGTAAGCACTACCATAATCAGCAGCCGCATCATCATCATCAGCATCATCGTCATCGTCAGCTCCTCATTCATCATCATCCTCATCATCATCACCATCATCATTATCAACAGCAGCATGATCAGCATCGTATCGTCGCAATCGCCGTAAGGATAGCAAAAGTATGATGTGTCTCCTCCGCCTTCTCCTCACCATCATCATCCTCCTTCTCGCTTCTCCTCTCTCCCCCCATCCTCCCTCTTCCACCCATTCTCCTCCTCCCTCGTCCTCGTTATCCTCCTCCTCCGCCGCATCATCAACAGCAACATCGTCATCATCATCATCATCAGCAGCAGCAGCATCATCAGCATCGCCATCATCATCAGCAGCATCAGCATCAGCATCAGCAGCAGCAGCATCACCATCCTCATCATCATCAACATCATCGTCATCAGCATCAGCATCATCAGCATCACCATCATAATCATCGTCATCATCATCAGCATCGTCAGCATCATCATCATCATCATCATCATCAGCATCATCAAAATCTTCATCATCACCACCACCATAGTCAGCATCATCATCAGCTGCAACAGCATCACCATCATCATCGTCATAGTCGTCATCATCTTTATCATTACCATCATCCCCAGCAGCAGCACCATCAGCATCAGCATCATCATCAGCATCATCATCGTCAGCGTCATCAGCATCAGCATCATCGTATGCATCATCATCAGAAGCATCACCATCATCAACATGATCATTGTCATCAGCATCGTCATCACAACCACTACCATCGTCATCAGCAGCATCATTAACATCATCTCCATCGTCATCATCCTCGTCATCATTATCGTCATCGTCATCGTCACCGTCATCATCCTCATCATCCTCATCATCCTCATCTTCACTATCATCACCGTACTATCATCACAGCCCTCATCCTCATCATCATCATTATCGACATCATCATCAGCAGCATCATCATCATCAGCATCATCAGCATCGTCGTCCTCAGCGTCATCAGCATCAGCATCATCGTATGCATCATCATCAGAAGCATCATCATCATCACAATCATCATTGTCATCAGCATCGTCATACCAACCATCACCATCATCAGCAGCATCATTAACATCATCACCATCACCGTCATCCTCGTCGTCATTGTCATCATCGTCATCGTCACCGTCATCATCCTCATCATTATCATCCTTTTTGTCATCATCATATCAGCATCGCCGCCATCATCATCATCATCATCTTCATCATCATCATCATCATCATCATCATAATCATCATCATCGTCATCATCACCAGCAGCATCATTATCATCATCAGCAGCAGCATCGTCATCATCATCAGCAGCATCATCATCGTCATCATCGTAAGTTCGTTCCTCCCCTACTCCTCCCTCCTCCTGCCCCTCCTCGTCCTCCTCCTCGCTCGTCCTTTTCTTCCTTCCCCCTCATCCTCCTCCTTTCTCCTTCTACTTCCCTTCGAGGGCGTGATCTCCTCCTGCAGCGACTGCATGCCCTCGCGAAGCGCCTCGGCGCGAGCAAGGGCGAGCGAGGAAGCTGAGGTGGAGGAGAGGAGGCGGCCAGAGGAGATGGAAGGGAAGAGGGGGAGCAGGGAGGAAGAGACAGAGGGGGAGAGAGGGGAAGGAGGAAGAAGCTGGAGGAGAAGGAGGGGGGAGCGAGGGGGAGGAGGCAAAAGCTGGAGGAGAGGGATCGGGACTCGGGACTGCAACGGCGACAGCCAGGGCGGACTGCCAGCCCCACGGGCAAGAGCGTCGCGGCCCCCGGCGGCCGCCCTCGAGGGGCACACACAGCTTTGCCCCGCGGCCTGGCCAGGCCTCGGGGCAGAGCCCCCCTCGCGCTCGGAGCCGGGGCCGAAGCGGGGCGACGCTGGGCACAGCGGTCTGGAAAAGAGAGGAAGGTGGAGGGAGCTGGAGGAGAGGAAGCCGAGGGAGAGGGAGTGGGAGGAGAGGGGCAAGAGGCTGGAAGAGGGGAGGGAACTGGAGGAAGCTGGAGGAGAGGAAGCTGGAGGGAGAGGGGGAGGGGGAGGGGCGAGAGGACGGGGAAGAGGAGGGAGGCTGTAACAGGGAGCTGGCCCGGGGCGGGAAGGCGAGCCTGAACTGTTTGCCGCAGGAGACCCCGACAGAACCGCCGGGTCCGCCGAGTCCGCGGGCGGCGCAGGGGCGGGAGGAGTATAGGAAAGGAGCATGGCGGAGGGGCACGTGGGGAAGGAGCCAGAGGTTTAGAGGAGCAGAATGACAGGGGAAGGAGCAGGAGGGGAATGCGGGGGAAGAGCACGCAAAAGAGAAGGAAAGGGAGGAATTGGA